CCCGCCCCCCCAGGACGCGCTCCCGACCTAGACCTCCCAGTCTCCCCCCCAAACAGCCCCGACCCCCCAGGGCAGGGACACGGCTGAGAACTCCCAGGGTCCCCCCCAAACTGCCCCGACGCCCCAGGGCAGGGACACGGCTGAGAACTCCCAGGGTCCCCCCCAAACAGCCCCGACCCCCCAGGGCGGGCACGCAGCTGAGGAGGACTAAGGTTCCCAACGTGTGCGCTAGGGGAGCGAGCTGGCAGTGGAGCCTGGGGGCTGTCTGGGATAGGAGCGTCTCGCCTGAGCTGAGCCTCGGTGGCGTTCAGAGCAGTCCCGCGGCCCACGCCAGTGCGGGAGGTCTCTAGCGCGAGTGCTGCACTCGGAGCAGCCTGATGCCAGTGCAGGCTGCAGGGATGGGAGGGCTTGGTAGCTCATTCTGGGCTGGCCTTGGCTAGTGAGCTCCTGAGGGCACACACACACTCCCAGGGAGCCCCAGCCTAGAGCCCGCCACGCGGCAAAGCGGGCATCAGGATCTGCCAGGGGCTGTGATTGGTGCTGCTAGGGCCCTGCTGCGGGGGCCTGGCTCCCGCTCTGGAGGCACTGCCATGGCTGTCTGGCTGGCGGAGACATGGCTGAGGACCGGGGGGCGGGAGCCAGACGAGCATAGTGGGAGCTGATGCTGGCTTTGGGGGGGGGCACGAGGGCCATTTCCCTGTGTTCACTGGATGTGCTAATTAAAGCAGAGTGACTTGTCTCCCAGAATAACCCAGCAGCATGCGATTGGCCTCTGGGGCCTGTGTGCACAGGCAGGGCAGCCCCCAGATGCTTGGAAGTGGCCTCATGCCACCCTGGGGAGCAGGGGAAGCAGTTCACCTTTGTCCTCCAGTGGGAGGGCTCATCACCCCAAGTTCCCTGTGTTCACTGGATGTGCTAATTAAAGCAGAGTGACTTGTCTCCCAGAATAACCCAGCAGCATGCGATTGGCCTCTGGGGCCTGTGTGCACAGGCAGGGCAGCCCCCAGATGCTTGGAAGTGGCCTCATGCCACCCTGGGGAGCAGGGGAAGCAGTTCACCTTTGTCCTCCAGTGGGAGGGCTCATCACCCCAAGAGCACACGGCCCAGGCAGAGCCGGCCCCCCCGGGGGCTGGCCACGGGAGCCCAGCCTTTCTCCAGAGGGGGAGCTGCTCTCAGCTGCTGGCACCTGTTACCTTGTCAGGCTGCTGCCTTGTCCTTAGCGGACATGGGTGCCAGCCTGTATGAGGGGCAGGCAGGCCTCAGCCCAGCCACCAGGGGGCAGGCCTCTGCCGTCATCAGTAGTGCTAACTGGCCCCCAGTCCTCAGAGGGGCCAAGGGTCAAATGGACCATGGCCGCGGGAGCTGGGCAGGGTGTGGGCAGCTTGCCCTGTACCCCTGGTGATTTCTGCTTTCCAGGGCCAGCGTGCAGGCAGGGCCTGTGTGAGGAGCCTCATTGGACAGATGTACAGACACACAATGAGGCAGTCCCTGCCCCCTAGACAAGACCAAAGCTTGCCCCAGCTCAGCTGTGGGGCCAGACGCCCAAGGAAATGCACTGATTTGCCCAAAGTCACACAGGAGAGCTGGGTCAGTTGCTGGCTCGGACTCCCTCTCTCAGGGCCAAAATTGCTTCTGATGGTCCACGTGCCAGCGGGGTGGGAAGGGCCAGCTGCACAGCCCCTGGGGAATTGCTGGGCTCCATGGAGCATGAAGGCGGGTTAGGCCCAGACCAGCCCTTTGAGTTTGAAGCCGGGATTTGCAGTGCCCAGCTGTGCTGCTGTCGGAGGGCTGCTGCCCAGGGCTGCAGGAGCGCCTTGTGCTGTGAGTGTTCGGCACTAGCAAGGCAAAGGGGTTTCCTGGCCTGGGATCTGATTGCCAGATAACCCAAGAACACCTGGCACAGGGCTGTCCTCAGTCTGAATGCGGGGCTCAGGTTTCTCAGTAGCACAGTGCCCCTCGTTGCAATGGGGTGTTCACACTGACCCCTAGCACCAGTGGCCCAAATATCACCTTGATCATTATTGCAAAGCTGATCATCTCTTTAGCAGAAGCATTCAGTGGACGTGCTTATTCCACAATTGCAAATTGACCCCAGCTCTCCCCCTCCACTTTCCCTCCCCTACCCAAACGCTGCAGGGCAAGGAGAGCAGGGCATGCCATTTGGTGTCAGTAGGCACACCAATACCCCTCCTTTTAGAAGCAATGGACCTGAAGCCGACACTGCAGCCTTTCAGCCTCCCACTGCTTTTCCGAATGGCCCATGTCCCAAGCTTTGCCAACCACAGCGTCGGTGCAAGAGAGCTAAGCTGCCCAGTGACGATGCAGTGAGGGGTAGCTAGTGTGCATTGCGCTGGCTTTCTCTGCAGGAGGATTTCCTTCAAGGGCTCTCTGTCCGAGGCCCAGGTGCGGGAGAGCAGCCAGGAACTTCTCAAGGGCTACCTGAGTGACATCATGGAGTCCATCATCCAAGCTTTGCCAACCACAGCGTCGGTGCAAGAGAGCTAAGCTGCCCAGTGACGATGCAGTGAGGGGTAGCTAGTGTGCATTGCGCTGGCTTTCTCTGCAGGAGGATTTCCTTCAAGGGCTCTCTGTCCGAGGCCCAGGTGCGGGAGAGCAGCCAGGAACTTCTCAAGGGCTACCTGAGTGACATCATGGAGTCCATCATCGGCTCGGTGGAGAAATGCCCCCCTACCATGAGGGTGGCCTTCAAGCAGCTGCACAAGCGGGTAGCGGAGCAGTTTCCAGAGGCGGAGCATGAGGTCAGGCTGGGAGGTGAAGGGGACAGGGGAGGTATGGGAGAATTCATCCGGGGGTGAACTAGGACCGGGGTAGGGGCAACCATGACCAGGATCTCCGTCTTGATACAGTGCAGGTGGAGGAGACAGGCACTGGCAAAGCAGCACTTCCAACCCATCATGTTACAGCTCCCTCTCAGACTCCCCCAGTCACCTAGCGTCTGCCTCCCCCTTGTTAATCACACTAGGGAGGCTGGCTGAGGTGGATCAAGGACTATGGCGCAGGCACTCAGATGCTGGGTCATGGGGGCCATGTTCAATACACTGGCTGGAGCTTGGTCTCCAGGGTGCTCCCGTAGATCCCTGAGGAGATGCACGTACCGTGCTGTCTTGAGGATGCTTGATCTATGTTCTTGGTTGGTTCCCTAAATCTAAAGCAAAGTCCAACTTAGACAGTCAGCCGGGGTATCTCCCTGCGCATGGAATGATGTTTTCAGTGGTGGCTGCTGACAGTCTGGCCAGGGATCATAGAACAGGAAGGGACCTCGAGAGTCATGGAGTCCAGTCCCCGGCCCTCGCAGCAGGACCAATACTGTCTAGCCCATCCCTGCCAGGCGTCTGTCCAACCTGCCCTCCAGTATCTGCAGAGATGGGGATTCCACAGCCCCCCCAGGCAATGTATTCCAGCGTTTACGCACCCGGACAGGTGGGACGTTTTTCCTGGTTTCCAACCGAAACCTCCCTCACTGCAGCGTAAGCCCCTTGCTTCTTGTCCTGTCCTCCCAGGCCAAGGAGAACCATCCCCCCCCCTCCCTGTGACACCCTTTGAGATGCTTGAAAAGCGCTATTGCATCCCCTCTGTCTTCTCCTTTCCAAACTAAACAAACCCAGTTCTTTCCGTCTGCCCTCCCGGGGCAAGGTCTCTAGACTTTCAGCCTTTTAGTTGCTCTTCTCTGGACCCTCTCCAGTTTTTCCTCATCTTTCTTGAAGTGTGGTGCCCAGAGCTGGACACAGTTCTCCACTTGAGGATGTAATAGTGTAGTCCATTAACCAGTGAGCCGATAAGAAAAAGCTTGTTGTTAATGCTATCGATTACACGTATCCCCCCACCCTTGCCAGGAATTTTATAAGAGGCTGGCCAGCAGCACAGCTCAGTCCCACTTGTGCTGAGTCGGGGACCTGCCCCCCGTGGCTCTGCATTTAAAGTGTGTTAGGAGCTGGGCAGGCAGCCTGGCTCAGGCCTGGCTCACACCGGTCCGGGACCTGCCCCCCGTGGCTCTGTGTTTAAAGTGCGTTAGGAGCTGGGCAGGCAGCCTGGCTCAGGCCTGGCTCACGCCGGTCCTGGGACCTGCCCCCCGTGGCTCCGTGTTTAAAGTGCATTAGGAGCTGGGCAGGCAGCCTGGCTCAGGCCTGGCTCACGCCGGTCCGGGACCTGCCCCCCGTGGCTCTGTGTTTAAAGTGCGTTAGGAGCTGGGCAGGC